TTATTAAAGCTACTATTTTAAAGATTTAGGGTATTAGTAATATTAAGCTAACCTTTTTTAACTAATAAATTAAAATATCTTATATACCTTTAAAGCTAGCTAAAGAGTTATAATCTAGGTTTTCCTTTTATTAGCCTTTAGCTATAGTAATTAGTTAGTTATTATAGTATAATATTTAAGTTATTAGCTAGATATGTTATTTATAGTTAAGGCTTATAGCTAAGAGCTTAAATTAGTAGACAGAACTTAGTCTATTATATGCGTGGGGTATACAATGTGGTCTGACGGTAAGGCTGAGGAAACCATAATTCCAAGTGAAATGAACGAAGATTATGTACTGAGATGAAGATGTATACTGCTAAGGGCTGTTGAGATATTTTGATAGTCACGGCCGCCACAACCCAAAATCTCACGTAAGCAAGGTTTCCGAGTGAACAAACAATTTATCACGGGAACCCTGTCAATGACCAAGATGAGCTTGATATATGGACGATGCCAGATTTCATCTATTGATTCTATAATTCTCTTTTACGAATTGCGAACTACTAACAAGCCCAAATTAAATACTCTTCTGAACTTACAGTCGACTGTTAATGCCACTCTTGAGAGCCTGGATAACCTCATCTGCCGCACGCTCACCACTTTCCACAGCCCCTTCCATATAGCCCTTCCACTCTACTGCTGTTTCCGTTCCAGCAAAGTGAAGACCGCCACAAGGTTTTCGCAAAGAATCAGCACCGATAGTGTCCAAAACACCCGGAGGAAGAGCAGGGCATGGACAGCCCCATCCTGAAAACTCGTCCTCGGTCCATTCGTACGTCACCATCTCCATGAATTCACTCTCAGCCTCTTTAGGCGAGTCGAAAAGCTTGCCAATCTGCCTGGTGAGTGCCCGTTCCCGATCTTTTGTTGTAAGAAGCGACCATTCCCGCCCTGGATCACTTCCAATGAAACATGTCATGATATACTTCTTGTCGGGGAGACTTGAAGAGTCGCGAATGACGCCAGCAGGGCCAGTGAACGACTGGACAAGGCCACAATAACCCTTCTTGACCCAGAAAGGGCTGCGGAAAACCATCATGGCCTTGGTGTAGTAGCCATACGTGCTCGACTCTGCCCAAGCCATTTTGGCAACAGGGAGCTTGGGAGTAAAGCCGATAGTTTTAAGGACGGGACTGGGGACTGTAATAATAACCTTGGATACCCGAATGACTTCGGATTCTGTCGTGACATCAATCACGTCAACTCCAAGATGCTGCTCAACGCTCAAGACAGGGCTTGACAACCGGACTGTGTCTTTATTGAGAGCGCCAGCAAGACCGTTAGCCATAAGCTGTATGCCTTGACGAACGCGTAGATGCTGACCACCACCCTTTGCATCCGATCTCATTTGGAGTAAACCACCACCAGATCTGCAGTAGCTGAGGAAGAAGAGGGCAGAGATGTCCTTGGGGTCTTGGCCAAGCATGGCTCGTGTCCACACTGTCGCTGTCGCAATGGCGGTTTCACTTGCTCCTCTTGAACGTAGGTAAGCCTCGAATGTCTGAGCGTCAAATTCGGAGTTTTGGGGACAGGCTTGGTCCAGAGCCTGGCAATCAGCCTCCACCATGTCTCGAATTCGGGTGACGTCTTGGGCAGTAGCGGCATCGAACTACAAAGCAGTCAGCAGCTAACTTCACAGGCCCCGCACTGCAGGAGCTGCAGAAATCAAACTCACATCTGGCAGTTGGCCATACTCGAACGTGCTGCATTGTCCATCCTTATCTTCTAATACACATAGGCCTGTTATATTCTGCTCCTGAAACTCGGCACCGAAACGTTTCGCCAGCCGATATATCCTTAACTGGTTAACGTTGTTCAGCCATGCTGCCCCTAAATCAACAACCCCAGACGCATCTTGTGTTGGCCGACTCCATGTCTTGCCACCAACGCGATCTCGGGCTTCCAAGACCAAGCATGAGAGACCATGTTCTTGAACTTTTGTCGCTGCGGTGAGGCCGGCCAAACCGCCGCCAATAATGACGACATCCACTGAACGTCTTGGAAGAGCCTTGACAAGAGGCCTCTCGATCAAAGGACGAACAAGGACGGCGTCAACCTCAAAAAGACACTCGGGAACAGCCAGAGCCGAGACGGGAATAAGCGTGATAGCGGGGCGATGGCCGCTGAGGAATCGCTGTATGTGTCTAATGTGTAGACGGCGAGACGGGTTGTAGTTGACGATCAAGACCGTGAGCTTAACGATGTCTCGGACAGAAGCACCAGAAGTAATGATAATCTTGCGGAGATTTAGAAGCGCTAAATGAATTTGAGATTCATAGTCGCTAGGCAAGTGGCCGTTCCTAAGAATTCCAGGCTGGCCAGAAACATGTATGATCTGTGAACCTGGGGCAGCAGATACTGCTGGTGCATAGTATCCACCAGATGTGTTGGCCAAATCAATGGCCTTGATGGATGACATGTTGAGATTGGCAAACGATAGATAAGAAGCAGCAGAGAATTAAACAATGTTTCTGAGATTTAGTTTCGTGCCTTAGCTTCTATGCCTACCGAAGTTGATTTCAGATAGAGTTGAAGAGGAGTGCTTTAAATCTATTATTTTTGTTATCTATCTCGCTCACGATAGACACCGAAAGAGCCACAAAGCTCGCCTTATCTTTATCGCCCTTGGAATGGAAATTAGTACCGTTGTTTCTGGCCGCCGATACGGTCTCGGAACCGAAATGCCTCGCGGAGCGGGGACTGGCCAGTTCGGTTCCGAAAGCTTATCGGCCACTCCCCTCAAAGGACCGAGTCATGGGTGCAAGGGATGAAAGCCCCGGACCAAAGCTTCCTGGTAGGGAATTACACGTTTCTGAGCCTCAGTGCTTTTGACGTGTTTGGACGCCATGGCTGTTATAACCTCTCGTTGAATAACTGCTTTCAGACAACTTATCCAATAACTACCCTATCGCTCTACTAACAAATTCAATCTTGAGTCTGACGAAGGCAAGGGCTTCTTTCTGAGAGAAGAAATTCTATTAAAGTCTCAATACGACGTTATCAGATTTTTCCAAAGCCCGCATTACCCGGGACTTTGCTCTGTGCAGTAGTGGCCTGCGTAGATCTCGCAATAGGCAGTCCTTTGAACTCCGACATGAAACCCGTGTCCTTCCTGTTGAATGCATCGGACGAAATGAAGATATTACCCTGGCACACGCGACAGAGATATTGCTGTGTAGCGCTAGCAGCAGCGTTATCAGGGCAACTGTTAAGTTGACCCTTGAAGTCTGGGACGACGACTTGCTTGACGTTCTGGAAGACGTTGCCCTCGAAAAGACCCTTGCCGGCTGTGTCGCCTTCGATAGCGTGGCCATTAATGTCGCGCCAGACGTTGTTGACCGTGTGAAGGAATGTGGTGGCTGAGAGGGCTGGGCCACGGCCTGCGGTATGCTCGATGAGGTTGTCTGAAAAATGTCAGTAGAGCTTTGAGATATGGTGGGGGGGCCCCAGGTATACTCTGAAGAGTAATTTGATCACCCTGGCCGACCATTTCAATTGTCCAGTAGTGGTAACCGTCACAGCCAGCGGACCACTGTGTATGACCATCGATGTGATTGTTGGAGAGAGTGATGCCAGTGCTCTTATCGCGACCAAAGATGTAGTGCTGACGACCAAGCAGAGATGTCTAGAAATGTTAGCAACTCCTCTGTCTATTCTGGGCGACTGAGCTTACGGTGCAGTGATCAACCCAGATCTTGCTGGTGCCGGAGAAGGTGAAGGCGTCACCGCCCCAGACATATTGAGGGTTCAAGTTCGTGATATCTGCAAGCACATCCGTTAGAGAACTGATGCACCAGACGCCTGAATAACGTACGAATGTTTTGAACGATAATGTTCTTGACATTAACAAACCGCAGTCCCTTTCCCTTGATAATACCCTTATTACCAACCCCGATAATCGTCTTATCGGAAGCAACGTTAATCCCACTCGTTCCAGCCTTACTGTACGTAACATCAACCTTGGGATTGTCATCGCACCAATTCCCAGCTGCGTTAATAGCCAATTGATATCCCGTACTATTATATTAAAATAACTTTATTATAACTAATCTTTTACTACCTTATAACTTAATATTCCTTAACCTTAACTAGCTAGTTTAACCTTTCCTTTAATAATATAATTATTATATATATATTTTCTTTTAAACCTTTACTAGT